ACCTTTTTTCAGATTGCACGCTGACCTGTTTGTTCCCTAGCTTCAGTCTCTGAAACAACTGCACCCTTTGGTCTGAAATTAAAAAAAACAAAACAAGACGAAACAAAACCCACAACCAGAAGGAGGCACGTGGTGAAGTAAATTTCAACTCAAATGGTCCATGTTTGTCATCGTTATAAGCAATTAGAATCAGCATTTTATAATAGGAAGCTTTAGGCAACCTTAGTAACGTACAGTATTTCCAACCCTGCTTGTAATATTCTCTGGAATGTAATAATTAAAAACAGTCCATAGACTGCAGTTTTCCTTTGATATCTTAGAAGCGGGGCAGCCTGGCTTTATTTTACCTTAATTTGCATCCTTTTGGTGATATTTTTTTTTTTTGAGCAAGCCTAAGGAGGTAGGTGGCTGTCTCCCACTGAAATTTAGTGAGATTTATTTAATTAATTCCCTTAGGCTTTTGAAGCTTTCAGTCTTAGCTCTTTGGCTGAGTTGGGCAAACTAGTCCAGTATAGCATGTGAAGAGATATGATAACTGGGCATTTCCCTTCTGGAGAGCAGAATATTGAAAAACTTCATCTTCTTTTTACATGCATGTAAAATTAGATGGCAAGGGATCACTTAGACTGAGTCATCACAATCAAAGGAAGAGGTTAAACTTGTGCTTGACTTCTGACTCAGAAGACTAGATTTTGGAGCATTCAGTGTACTGCTAAAATTAAGGGGCTTTATTTTGTCTCCATGGCTTCTGTCAAGAAGCATTTTCTGTTCACAGGCTGATCTTTCCTTTTTCTTTATACCTGAGAGTTAAATTTGTTTTTTAGTGAATTCAGGAAACTGATGCTTGAACATGTTTTGGAAGTTCACTAGATTTCCTTTCCTTTAAAGTGAAATGTGCCATTCTTTCTTTGACAAGTCAAACAAAATACAGAGCCTTACTGTGCTTTAACCTATTTATAGTATTTAATAAAAAAAAACTAGTTCTGCTAGTGTGAGGAGACTTGCTTCCGAATTGGCTAAGATTTCCTTTAAGTAAACTATGTTGCCTTTTCAGTGTTACCCTTGAGATCACATGATAGGTCTGATGAGGTTTGCCTACATTAACTGAGTATGGGACGAGTGAGGTTACTTTTGTCTGGAGAAGATAAGTTGTTTTTTTTTTTTATATAGTATCAAGGGGTATATCTTTGTTTCACACACTAGTAGTTTCTGTATATTCAGGTTATCCACTATTCTCAAAAGTTTGGGTTATTCTACTAGATCTGTAGCACCCTCAGAAGCTTGTGTTTATGAAAATATTTGAATCCCAAATTTGGAAGGCAAGTACATGTTATCCAAACCATACCTCTGTCCAGGCCTCTGGTCCCCCTCTCTCGAAATCAGATTAGGTGCTCATTTCAGTCTTTCCAATTATATACTACTTGGCTATCGTCTGATGGGGATTCCTTAATGCTAGTCAATTCCTATCAGAAAGAATTGTAGAACAAAGGGAGTAAGCTCACTTTCTAACATACTTGGTTGTAAGGAGAAGCATCAACAGTAATAAATATGGAAATAGTTTTAAAAATCTTTTCACGCTGTACATGCTTACTCTAAATTGTCTTTCTGTAAAATATTTTTTTGTAACTTCTTGTGTAGTCTTGAAACATGATACGATGAAAAATAGCTTGAAGGCACTTCAAGAGGTCACCAAAGCACAAACATCTATATTTTAACCATTCTCAACAGTAACAGTAATCTAATTTCCTCCTCACAGTTTCTAATGGTGGAGATTCCATGACTTCTCTAGGTAACCTAGTGCAGTGCTTACCTACCTTCGTAAGTCAGAAAGGTTTTTCCTAATATGCAGCTTACATTTTCCTTGTTCCAGTTCAAATCCATCACTACTTTTCCTGCCCCATGTTGAAGGAGAGAATGATTTTGCAACCCTGGAACTCTGAAAGCGTGTTCTGTTTTTTTTTATCCAAATCAATGATGCATCTATCTTCTTGATGCATATCAGGGAAAAAATCTTTAGGAATGCTGTTTTAATCATTTAAAAGTAGGATGAACCATAACAACCTTAAAGCTTTTAGCACAATGCTACCCTCTAGTGGAACAGTCTTGGAAAAAAATGACTTGGTCCTGTTTCCATTGGGTTCTCAGCAGTGGTTGGCCATGGTAAACCAGAGAGTAAAGACGAGTACAAATAGATTAGAGGAAATTATAATGCAAGAAACAACAACATGAAGTTGAGCTGAGGCTTCGAGAAAATTAGGTTAAAAGAGCTTAGCAGTTGGAATAAGAAAATAGTTTTAATTGCTTTTCTTTACATAAGCAGTACATTATTATAGGTAATAGAATAACTGTGGTTGGGGTATGCTCAAAGTGGGGATATAAAACTAATGGGAATGTAATTATTTGATTGGACCTATTATGAGGGTATGCTTAGAGTTTTATCAGTAATTAAATAGGACATTAATTAGAATTAAAAATAGCTGAAAATACCATTTTAAATTAAAATTTGTAGTTTACAGTTTCCCTTATTGGTATCACACAATTCTTCTTTTCAGCAGTATTATGGGAACTCTATGGAAGAAACTAGAGGACAATTCTCAGTTAAATTTTATATTAACATTCCCCCCCAATATAATGTTTCATAAACAACTTACCTTTGCATCAGCTATTTACACAGCTCCAACAGGAGTAAATCAGAAATCATAACTAGAGCCTGCAGATCCTTGATGTGCCTGGTCCACCTGTTATTTCGTACTCTTCTTTCAGGGATTTTTCATATTCACGTCTTCTCTAAATGTTTTATCAGTGTACACGTTTTAATTCAAAATCGCACTTGGAGGATAGGTAATGTACCTTGCAGTTTGCAGCATTTTGAAATATATGGATGAAACAGTTGGACTATGAGAGCAGACTGACAGACCTGCTGTTCTCACCTCTATCATGTTTTTTGTTAGGTATTTTGAGGTATGAAAGTCTTAAGGTACTGTTTATGTCATTGGCTGGTGAAAAATCTATTAACATATTTCAGGGATTAAAAATGAAATTGAAAAATTAAAGTCATGGGGACACCTAGGATTTTGATCTCCAAAAGTTGGCAATTTTTTTTTAAGATTTTTAGGATGAAGTGGGTGACAGCTGTGGCAAGAGATCTGTATGCATTAGGAGGGTGGAGTAGTTTGCTGTCATGTTCAAGCATTTTTGTGGGTAGCTGAGATCTTGGGCAAATGTGTGGTAAGTTTGACAGAAAAAGGAAATAATGGGAGATGGATTCTAGGGAGAAGATTTTTAAATGGAAGCATAAAAGGAAAGAAGAGTGGGAGGAGTCCCTGGTGATGATCAGAGAGGTGTCGGTCTGGTGAATGAAGACATCTCTCATTGGATGTTTAAGGAAAAGGAGAGGGTGGAATTCAGACTATTGTAGGGATCTGGCCAAATAAACTTTTTGGAAGGTGGGCTCAATATTTACTAATGTGTATGCACAAAGCAGTGTGTATGCACTGTCAAAAGTTATGTGGTAATATTGACAGCATTTGTGCATATCTCAACGTGCAAAAAATAAGTTGTTTCACATTCTTCAAGAGCAAATGTGCTAATTGAAATTTTCACTATTGAAGTGAAAGATGAGAACATTGAGACGTTGTTCATCATTACCAAAATGTAACTAGGGCAGTTTTTAGATACTGTTCCAGGACATGACCAATTTAAAAAAAAAAAAAAAGATCGCAGCTCCTTAATCTGGATATTGTCTACCCGGCAAATATTACTCTCTTAGGTCTGCTACTAAATGTAGAAAGTGAAGAAACAAAAACAGAAATAAAGGGAGAAAGTAAAAGAATCAATATTTGTCCTAATGTAGGATGATTGATTAAACATTAGAAATGTCCAGATAATGGCTATGTGCATCTATCCATACAGGGAAAATTCATTCCTGCTTAATGCTGTTGATCCTGTGTCTGAAAGGAAAACCACAGAATATTGCTTTACGTTGTTGAAGAGTCCCCCTAAAACAGGGCTGGGCAGTTATTTGGACTGGAGGTTCACTTAAGGAGTTTCAGTGAGCTGTTGTGGGGGTGGAGTTAACACTGTGGGAGGCAGTGGAGGCGGGCAGTTGATCCTATCCAGCCCTGAGCACCTTTGCCCCACACTCTCCTCTGGGGGGGCCAGATGGAGTGGGCGGGGTCTCCATGGAGACCAGCCCAGGACCCCCACGGGCAGGGTGTACTTACCTGGGTGGATGGGATGGGGCTGACTGAGTTGAATAAAGTCTGAATGAGCTTGAATAAAACAGCTGAAAGGCAATTGATGGAACATAATTGTGTTTCTTCCCCCCCCCCCCCCCCCCCCC